ATGCCCGTGTATTTGTATATATGTATTCATGCAAATTTATTTCATTTAAATAATTAATAATAAATTTATTTTTTTTTTTAGATGTACATGTACCAATACAGTTCGAACTATGAAAATAAAGATGAAAAGATACACTGAGGATTCATTTTCAGTAAAAAGCAGGTGATAATTTGTCTGGATAAGGAAATAAACATTCATCTTAATTTTAATGCTTATAACTACCTTAGCAAAATTAAATCTTTTATTAATGTCATGATTTTTTTTATAAAGTCTTGTGATACAGTAATTAAGAAAAGAATCAAAATTGGTTGTAGAATATACTATGATTGTATTGTTACATTTTAGAACTGTGACAATTACAGGAGCATCACCTGTGAAAGGTTACAAATGTTACAAATGACACCAATGAAGGATCTATAAGCAACTGTAAGTACACTTCTACGTAATTTAATTCAATTTTCTCAACAGAGTCAACACATGATGTATGTTTTAATAAACTTTTTTTCAAAGAGGTTTTAGAATATTTTTTTTTGTTCTATTAATTGAAAGAAATATACTCTAGCCATACTTAAATCACAAGCAAATTTAAATTATTAATTGTAGGTACATGATGATGTACCTTATAACTTACAAGTATTCAATCAAAATTTGTTCAGGAAAGTTGTCCTTTTATGTACATGATGTACAAATTCATAACTGTATATGTACTTGAATACATATAAACTGTATATGAAATAGTATGAATATCCCTAACATACATAATGCATATATGTATAATTTATGCAAGAAAGTTGCATATAAGGCATATAAATAACTATAAATAAAGGAACCCTAAATAGAAATACTAGTATCCAGTGTACAGCAATGAACTATATATGGTTGCAAGTGATTAGGAAATAATCTTTGTTTTTATTATCTTTTTCTAACACAAAGGTTATATACCAGAAACAGGAGGCAGGTACAAAATTATTAAACGAAGACAGAAAACTTGCAAGTGATCGTGCATGAGAACTGAACACCAGGCAGTATCATTACCAAACAGTATTCTTTTGGAGGGAATTCTGTTAAAGAAATTGGGGATCAGATGTTTTTGAAGTTTGTGATGGTAAATTCACTACATTGTTTAGGTTGCTTTTATCTTCCATTAGTTATACTTAAATAAACTTAGATTTAACAGAAAAATCATGAAAATGGGTCTGAAAACGCTAAAACATATAAATTTAAACAACAAACAAATGGCGGAGGCGGGGCGGCAGGAGGTAAATAACAAACTTTGAAACAACGTCCGTCCTCCAAGGATGTAGATGGGAGAAAAGGCAGAGTAACGCACCGCATGGTCAGAATTTCATGTTAGATTTTGATTGGTCAGATTTTGATTGGTCAATCTCTGCCTCTCCTACCACGGTAAGACATGGAACAAAATTACCATTACAAAGCACAGCAATACAGTATTTCAGACTTTCACATTCAAGGAGGACACTTATTGATTACAATAAAAATTTTTAAGTAAACTTAAATTTATTTATTTTAATGCAATAAGTATTTTGATAACCCAGTTACCCATCAACTGGTTAATTTCTTTCCATAATCCTTTCAAAGCTAGAACACCTTATCTTATCCTCCTTCAATGAGTAAAAAGTCTGTAAAACAGTTTGTCGTGTGTTGCCACCTTTGTGACGTTTAATAATTTGTTTGAAATTCTCAAAAGTATTATTAATAATGACATATAATTTTTAGCAGACACAAGATATCAAGATGAGAAATAAAACCAATTTTGTAAAGGGAGATAATCCAAATTTACAGTAATTACCACTTAGATTTAACAGAAAAATCATGAAAATGGGTCTGAAAACGCCACTGACTTGACCGAACTAGGGAAAGTTCAGACCCATAAAGGAAAAATAAATGGCAACACACCTCAAACATAAATCATACCAAAATTGAGTAAAATTTACAAAAATGGGAATAAACATATGTCCCGTAATGTAACAAAATAACTTTCTCATGAAATATATATATGACAAGATACTGTTTCTATAAATCTCTTACAATTCAATTATGATAAAAAATTTGAATTCACAAATGTCTTATGAGGGATAAACATATGCCCCCATCACAACCTAATGAGTTTACTATTCCTAGTGTATTATGTCTGTGGGTCCCAAGTATTAACGAATGACTGTATAATGTTCGATAAGGGATAAACATATGCCCTTATAGTCGCAAATCATCATCTTATTCGCTGTTTTTTACTAAGTTCACATGTGTGTGGTATTCACTTAAGGACTACTTCGAGCAATGTTTTAGCTGAGGGATAGACATATGCCCCCATATTGAAAAATATTTTACACTGTAAGCTTCCTCACCGTTATAAATGTTTATACGCACGCAATCTTGTCACCTACCAGCCTAAGTATTAACAAATGACTTAGGCACTATTGTTCTGGATGAGGGATAAACATATGCCCCCCTAAGTTAATACTCTTGAAAATCACTTAAAAGTCGAGATCCTACGCAATTAACAAAACAAAATCTGCTCCGAGGATCCACTTCCACTCAAGCATATATCAACATGGTGTCACGTGTCTTATGTAATATTTAAATGCATCCGATTTCCATCTACCCAGGAATCTAATCTGACTATCGCTCATCCCTCGTGATGCACAGTAAGAGGCCATTCCGATTCGAAAGGAATGTCCTTTGAATCTATTGACATCCAAATTACAAAACATGAGGCTTTGCTTTAATATGTTTGAAAATTCTTGCCTTGTGACTGCAGTGTTTTGGGGGTAGCAAAAAAGGGGCCCATCGGTCCTCCCTCTCATCTTAATGTAGTGTTCTAATGCCCCCACTGGACAATATTTTAAAGAGTTGCAAGAATTAATTGTAAGACTAAAAACTTTACCATCAGAATGTTTATAATTTTGAAAGTGAATCAAAACTTTACTTTTCTGAAAAGTAATCTGTGAAACTTGTAAAACCTTATTAGCAGTGCCAACTGATGTTATCTCTCCTATTCTGAGGAAGCCGTGAAAAGCCAATAAAAACATTGTTTGAAATAATGCCCTTTTATATATGCTCGATATTGTATGTTCGAACGCATCACAAATTTTATGCAGAACTACTATGGTTATTGGTAAACGAATATCCATTGAAGGTCTTTATTTGCGACAAGAACTTAATAGTTTCTGAATGAGAAAGCATGATGTATTGTCAGGCAAATTATTAATTTTATGTATATATGCTATTGATGAAATAAATGACACGATAGAGGAGGCTGCATAATCTTCAGCAAATAAATAAGAGATAAACAAAGCCAAAGTTTCCTGAGACAACGTAAGATCATTACTCATATCAAATTTGTTTGCAAAATTTCTATAAATAGACCATGCCCGTTTATATGCTTGAGTGGAAGCTGGTGCCAATGTTGAAGTCAACAGGTTCCTCAAGACTGGTTCTAAGGAGGTAATGTTGGCAGATTGGGAATCACCGTTGGTTCTTTGTCCATCCAAGGAGCAAGTTGATGGAACTGCTGCACCTTCAAACGAGACAAGCAATCACATAGAATATTTTCCTTGGTACTCAGATGCCTAGCTTTAAACAAAATGTTAGACTGCAAACAAATTAGCACTAACTCTCTAACCAAATACATTATACTTTTATCCTTAGACGATTGCTTGTTAATGATATGCATAAGGGCATAATTGTCTGTGTAAAAGTAAATGCATTTGTTTTTAAAAATATGACGCCAAACTTTAAGAGCTAACACTATTGGGTAAAATTCCAAGAGAGTAATATTACATTTTTTCCAATTATCATTCCAAGTCCCATAGAACCAGTGCCCACCTAACACTGCCCCGTATCCCATAGATCCCGAAGCGTTTGTATACAGTTTTAATTCATTGGAATCAACCCACCTATCTGGTAAGAAAACTGACCTACCATTAAATTTTTCCAAGAAGGCTAACCAAGTACATAAATTTGCTTTTACCTCTTTGTTTAGTCTAATGCGATAATATGCTTTTGTAATGCCAATAGTAGTGTTGATAAGTCGCCTTAAGAATGCTCTACCTGGCAAGACCACATTACACGCAAAATTAAGAAGACCAATCACTGACTGCATGTCCTTCAAAGTAATCTTTCTGCTTGGTAAAAGCTGTTCAATTGTATCTCTACATTTTTTAACTTTATCAATAGGTAACCTTGCCTCCATCATCTCAGTGTCTAATTCATATCCCAGAAAAGTCATTACCTTGTTAGGACCAAATGTCTTATCCTTAGCCATAGGTACACCTATGTCGGCGCAAACTGTTAAAAATGCCACAAGTTTTTTGTGGCACTCTGTCGCAGATTTGTCAACAATTAGAAAATCATTTAATACATGAGTCATAAATTTAATTCCTAATTTTTCTTGTGCAATCCACTGAAGTGCTGTACTAAACCTTTCAAATATACGACAGGAAGAACTGCAACCCATCTGAAGACATGTGTCAAAATACCAATGACCTTGCCAAGTGAAACCAAAGTATTCAAACTGTGATGCATGTAAGTTGATAATTCGAAATGCATTAGAAATATCTGTTTTGCAACAATATGATCCTTTCCCACACTGCTTAATGTTTTGAATAGCATCCTCTACAGAAGAGTATTGAACAAATGACTCTTCCTCGGGTATGCCATCATTGACAGACTTACCTTCCGGGTATGACAAATGATGGATCATACGGTACTCACCCTCTGTTTTCTTACTAACTAGACCTAAAGGGGAACAATTTAAAATTGGCAGTGGTTTCTCTTTGAAAGGACCCATAATTCTACCCAAATTTATCTCCTTTTCTAACTTTTTGCTAATAACTTCTGGTAAGTCCAGTGCCGATTTTAAATTTTTTGAAAGAGTATTTCTACTTTCCCCTGTGTAACCAATGTGGAATCCATATCGAAAACCATTAACTAAAAATTCTGTTTCTACCTTGTCATACCCCACCAACCAGTACTCTAATCTACTGGGATTTACTGGAGTTGGACCCTTTTGTGGGATAGGTTGGCTTTGAGAATTTAGCATTACCTGTGTTGGTTGATGTGCCATTTCCTTGAAATGGTTTTTGGGTTCTGGATTTGTCCAAGAAACGAAATGGCCGTTGAATTGGTTTTTTACATATGTAGACTGGATGGAAACCACCACAGTTATAACATCTGTGCTGGAATTTGCATGATGAACCAAGCCTACAATACCTTCCAGCTTTGTGATAGGCAAAGCATGACCCCTGAGGGACTTCCTCATACGTACCAAATGACGAACGGTCTGGTGTTATTTTGCTTGACTTTTTTTCCGATTGTTTGAGGCGAGCATTAACATATATCTCCATATGGACATCACCCCATTCTACCTCACCTTGTTCTATGAGTTCCCTGAACTCCTTATCATATTTTCTCCAGTCCCCATTTTCCTCTGCAATTTGCCTTACTGATTCCATGTGTTTTGCAAGCTTTGGCTGTGCAAGTGTATCTTTAATGCAATATATTGTCACATACCTATTCCACGCAGTTACCCAGTCATGCAGGGGTAACGAACCATCCCTAACTTCGTCGTCATCTGTGGATCGCATATTGTGGATTACCACCTTACCTGTCTGATCCTGTTCCTCTACCTTGATAGAATACTTACTTTTCCCCTTTTCCTTTTTAAACAACAGAGCCATATCAACATATTGTTTTGACCAAATTTTAGATTTTATTTTGTCAGAAACAGTTGCCTCTATCGGTACTGATGAGCTTACAAAACCTGATTTCTTACCGACATTTGCTGCAGGTGGAAGTTCAGTACCTACAATCTGTGAACTGTGTTCGATTACAGCGCCTGATACCAATCCTGAGATACTTGCATCCACTGACTTATTTGTTATTTGACAAACTGACCCAGAAGGACCTGCTGTTAAGCTATTGCTTGATGTAGTGGAAGCATTATTTCCCCTTTCTCCCCCCATATTATGAACAGAGATACTCCCCTGATGTTGCAGTAATGGTTTTATCTCTGCTAACACCTTCTCCGTGACTGCCTTTGTTATGGTTTGGGTTAATGCAGCCAAGGTTTCAGGAGGAACATCAAGGGGTTGAGTGCTTGTATCGACAGCCACAGCATCATTGGTAGTGGACTCTCCAGTTCCGTTCTGTGCACGACGTGGTCTTTTCACCTGACTAGTTTTGGACTGTTGGGCTTTATTCCTTTTGCCTGGCATAATGCTGGTAAATATATACCTATATAAATTTAAAATTAAGGAAGAAGTATGCATCCAATATATTATGTTATGTATAAAAATAAACTGTAAAAGGCTTCGGCCTTAATTGACAATGAACAAGAATTGTAAGACCTCACTGTAGCCAGTGAGGCCCCAACTGTAACTGTAAGAGTCAGTTAGCCTACATGACAACGTATTTGAGCATATTGATATTTAACATTTCATTATATAACCACTTTCATCGCTCAGTACAATGTGTAAATCTAATACAACAAACTAGAAAGTGATGAACCTTTTCTTACAATTAATTTTTCACTTCATTGATTCTGCCGCTTTTCGATAAAACACCCTGTATCACCTACAGTTGTTGACAAAAATTTTCCGGAAATAGAGTAAATAGTAGAACCAAAAGTGTTTTGGAACAGATCTGTATTTCCCGAATTGCCGTAAGCCAATAAAAGCACCCATTGTGCGACTGCAAAAGCCATTAGTCAACATCACTAAGCCGATGCTGATCAGTAAGAACTATCCGCCACATAAAACGAAAGGTTGACATAAGTTATAAATCACCACTTTTGAAGCCGACAACCCTCGCACCGTGTCAAATTCCCAAGAAGGCTGTAGTGCCTTTCCCACAGATAACAACCTGTTCGGCTGTTGTTAATTGTTTTCATCACTACTACAAATGAGGTACTTGAAGGGCTTGTAATGTATCTAAGCGCAGTTGCAGAACAATAAAACCTTAATAAATGAATAATGAAAAACAACTATTTGTACAAGACTCAATATCATATAAAGGGGATAGCAAATACAAACAGTAAACTTGTACCTTCAAAATGAAATGCGGATTTTTTTTTTTTTTTTATTCTAATTCCTCCATAATCTGGACCATTGAATCGAACATGATTAGGTAAATCAACTTGAAGTGAAATCGATATAAAAATCATCAAGGTAAAAGTGGGCCTAACATGAATTAAAAACCAAAACGGCTAAATGTCAAGTACAAAAGACTGCCTGAAACTTTTACCTAGGACTTGCCTAAAATACTGTAAAAATTCACAATATTTTAGCACAGGTACTTGTGGACAGGACCCCCCCCCCCCCCCGATATTCAATCCCGGGGCTTATTGGACATTTTTTTCAAAAATTATATTTATTACTCTTATTCATCATGTGTACAATATGAAAAAATCGTCAAAACCCTAAAACAATCGCTCCACAAAAAAAATACCCCACTATACATTATAAGGGAGAAAGGTTTGAAATTTCCCTCAGTAAAAGCAACGGAAGTGCATAGAGAATGTATGATAAAACCCGAGAGAGATTATTACGTCATCCAAAACTCTCTCGGACGTTATCCTGATAAGTGAAACATTCTCTATGCACTTCCGTTGCGATTACCTAGGGAAATTTCAACTTCTGACTGGAAAACTGTTTAAAGATATTGTGGGATTCTTACGAGATGCAGAGTTAATCCGATAGCATGCACTAAGACAGAAATATATGTAGAGACGATGTGAATCGACATTTTAGGTTGAAATAAAATAAATACATGTTTATAAAGTGGGGGTACAACGTAAACAAACCGGAGTGGCATACCTTTCTCCCTTATAATGTATAGTGGGGTATTTTTTTTTTTTTTTTGTGGAACGATTGTTTTGGGGTTTTGGCGATTTTTTCATATTGTACACATGATGAATAAGAGTTATAAATATAATTTTTGAAAAAAATGTCCAATAAGCCCCGGAGTTGAATATCGGGGGGGGGGGGGGGGTCCTGTCCACAAGTACCTGTGTATTTTAGTAATCAACTAATACCGAAACAAAAAATTGGCAGATATTTTCCCAACAAATTGTTTTCTTTTTATACAGAAAAAGGATAAATCTGGAAGGCATCAACATGCACTTCTAGACTCATCAAATAAACAAGCGATGGAAAATAAATCGCCGGGGTAAAAGTTGAAACTAAAATGAAAAGACCCGCATGGGTACAAACTTGGCAAGTACAAAAGACTGCCTGAAACTTGTACTTAGGACTTGCCTAAAGTACTGTAGAATTTCACAATATTTTAGTAATCAACTTATACCGAAACAAACAAATTGGCAGACAATTTCCAAGATTTTCCTTCACAGAAAAAGGATAAGTCGATCTGGAATGCATTGAAATACATTCATAGACATCAAATAAAAACCGATGGAAAAAATCGCCATATGCATGGTAAAAGCTGAAACTAAAATGAAAAAACCCGAACGGGTTTAAACTTGGCAAGTACAAAAGACTGCCTGAAACTTGTACTTAGGACTTGCCTAAAGTACTGTAAAAATTCACAATATTTTAGTAATCAACTAATACCGAAGCAAACTAATTGGCAGACATTCTTCCAACGAATTTACTTCACAGAAAAAGGATAAATCTGGAATGCTTTAAAATACATTCCTAGATATCAAATAGAAAAACGATGGAAAAAATCGCCATCTGCATGGTAAAAGCCGAAACTAAAATGAAAAAACCCAAATGGGTTGAAACTTGGCAAGTACCAAAAAAAAAATTGCCTGAAACTTGTACATACATGTAGTATCTGCCTAAAGTACTGTAAAAATTAAACTAACAACGAAACAATCAAATTTGCTGATACTTTTTCCAACCGAATTTTCTTCACAGAAAAAGGATAAATCCGTTTTACATTATTAGACATCCTAAATGCCTATCGTACTGTTAAAATAACAAAATGTTGTATAATTTCAAAGAATATCTATCTGAAAAATTGACGAACAATAAAAGTAACAAAATGGTGACAAACTTTTATGACTTAGATGTATATCTATTTTCTCGCTAAAATTAAAGCTCCCCTTATACTCCTATATAAATGAACATTCCCCTGACTGTTCAGATGAACTCCGTCGTGAACAAATTTACGACTGCAGTCTCCTTCACGGGGAGAAACGAAATAATTCCCATGTTCCCAAAATACGCAGTAACCCAGTGCTGGCAATGCATCTCTCAATATTGCGTTTACTTTATCTGCAATATTATTGTACCCAAAACGAACACCAAATCGTGGCAATAATTTACAAACAATTACTTTTGCAACTTTATAGCGGCGATGCATTACCGATACCACAGATTCAATTTCTGCAGCTAACAAGGTAGCGTCGGTACTAGGACTAATATCGTTCTCCCCAATCATTAGAACAACTACATCTGGACCTAAAGCAAATACGCTCTCCATATCCTTAGATATTACATCACAAACCTTTCTTCCACCTATACCCCTGTACAGAACGGAATGCGTTTCTCCAAGACCAAGGCTCGCAGAATACCTAATGTCACCATATTTCAAGAATTCATGAAAACGACGCACAATTGAGTGTCCAAGAATGACAACTGAAGTTTTACGCATAGCAGACATAATGAAATAAATTTACTCACCAAAATCTTGATAAAATAAATAACAAACTTTGAAACAACGTCCGTCCTCCAAGGATGTAGATGGGAGAAAAGGCAGAGTAACGCACCGCATGGTCAGAATTTCATTTGTTAGATTTTAATTGGTCAGATTTTGATTGGTCAATCTCTGCCTCTCCTACCACGGTAAGACATGGAACAAAATTAACATTACAAAGCACAGCTATACAGTATTTCAGACTTTCACATTCAAGGAGGACACTTATTGATTACAATAAAAATTTTTAAGTAAACTTAAATTTATTTATTTTAATGCAATAAGTATTTTGATAACCCAGTTACCCATCAACTGGTTAATTTCTTTCCATAATCCTTTCAAAGCTAGAACACCTTATCTTATCCTCCTTCAATGAGTAAAAAGTCTGTAAAACAGTTTGTCGTGTGTTGCCACCTTTGTGACGTTTAATAATTTGTTTGAAATTCTCAAAAGTATTATTAATAATGACATATAATTTTTAGCAGACACAAGATATCAAGATGAGAAATAAAACCAATTTTGTAAAGGGAGATAATCCAAATTTACAGTAATTACCACTTAGATTTAACAGAAAAATCATGAAAATGGGTCTGAAAACGCCACTGACTTGACCGAACTAGGGAAAGTTCAGACCCATAAAGGAAAAATAAATGGCAACACACCTCAAACATAAATCATACCAAAATTGAGTAAAATTTACAAAAATGGGAATAAACATATGTCCCGTAATGTAACAAAATAACTTTCTCATGAAATATATATATGACAAGATACTGTTTCTATAAATCTCTTACAATTCAATTATGATAAAAAATTTGAATTCACAAATGTCTTATGAGGGATAAACATATGCCCCCATCACAACCTAATGAGTTTACTATTCCTAGTGTATTATGTCTGTGGGTCCCAAGTATTAACGAATGACTGTATAATGTTCGATAAGGGATAAACATATGCCCTTATAGTCGCAAATCATCATCTTATTCGCTGTTTTTTACTAAGTTCACATGTGTGTGGTATTCACTTAAGGACTACTTCGAGCAATGTTTTAGCTGAGGGATAGACATATGCCCCCATATTGAAAAATATTTTACACTGTAAGCTTCCTCACCGTTATAAATGTTTATACGCACGCAATCTTGTCACCTACCAGCCTAAGTATTAACAAATGACTTAGGCACTATTGTTCTGGATGAGGGATAAACATATGCCCCCCTAAGTTAATACTCTTGAAAATCACTTAAAAGTCGAGATCCTACGCAATTAACAAAACAAAATCTGCTCCGAGGATCCACTTCCACTCAAGCATATATCAACATGGTGTCACGTGTCTTATGTAATATTTAAATGCATCCGATTTCCATCTACCCAGGAATCTAATCTGACTATCGCTCATCCCTCGTGATGCACAGTAAGAGGCCATTCCGATTCGAAAGGAATGTCCTTTGAATCTATTGACATCCAAATTACAAAACATGAGGCTTTGCTTTAATATGTTTGAAAATTCTTGCCTTGTGACTGCAGTGTTTTGGGGGTAGCAAAAAAGGGGCCCATCGGTCCTCCCTCTCATCTTAATGTAGTGTTCTAATGCCCCCACTGGACAATATTTTAAAGAGTTGCAAGAATTAATTGTAAGACTAAAAACTTTACCATCAGAATGTTTATAATTTTGAAAGTGAATCAAAACTTTACTTTTCTGAAAAGTAATCTGTGAAACTTGTAAAACCTTATTAGCAGTGCCAACTGATGTTATCTCTCCTATTCTGAGGAAGCCGTGAAAAGCCAATAAAAACATTGTTTGAAATAATGCCCTTTTATATATGCTCGATATTGTATGTTCGAACGCATCACAAATTTTATGCAGAACTACTATGGTTATTGGTAAACGAATATCCATTGAAGGTCTTTATTTGCGACAAGAACTTAATAGTTTCTGAATGAGAAAGCATGATGTATTGTCAGGCAAATTATTAATTTTATGTATATATGCTATTGATGAAATAAATGACACGATAGAGGAGGCTGCATAATCTTCAGCAAATAAATAAGAGATAAACAAAGCCAAAGTTTCCTGAGACAACGTAAGATCATTACTCATATCAAATTTGTTTGCAAAATTTCTATAAATAGACCATGCCCGTTTATATGCTTGAGTGGAAGCTGGTGCCAATGTTGAAGTCAACAGGTTCCTCAAGACTGGTTCTAAGGAGGTAATGTTGGCAGATTGGGAATCACCGTTGGTTCTTTGTCCATCCAAGGAGCAAGTTGATGGAACTGCTGCACCTTCAAACGAGACAAGCAATCACATAGAATATTTTCCTTGGTACTCAGATGCCTAGCTTTAAACAAAATGTTAGACTGCAAACAAATTAGCACTAACTCTCTAACCAAATACATTATACTTTTATCCTTAGACGATTGCTTGTTAATGATATGCACAAGGGCATAATTGTCTGTGTAAAAGTAAATGCATTTGTTTTTAAAAATATGACGCCAAACTTTAAGAGCTAACACTATTGGGTAAAATTCCAAGAGAGTAATATTACATTTTTTCCAATTATCATGCCAAGTCCCATAGAACCAGTGCCCACCTAACACTGCCCCGTATCCCATAGATCCCGAAGCGTTTGTATACAGTTTTAATTCATTGGAATCAACCCACCTATCTGGTAAGAAAACTGACCTACCATTAAATTTTTCCAAGAAGGCTAACCAAGTACATAAATTTGCTTTTACCTCTTTGTTTAGTCTAATGCGATAATATGCTTTTGTAATGCCAATAGTAGTGTTGATAAGTCGCCTTAAGAATGCTCTACCTGGCAAGACCACATTACACGCAAAATTAAGAAGACCAATCACTGACTGCATGTCCTTCAAAGTAATCTTTCTGCTTGGTAAAAGCTGTTCAATTGTATCTCTACATTTTTTAACTTTATCAATAGGTAACCTTGCCTCCATCATCTCAGTGTCTAATTCATATCCCAGAAAAGTCATTACCTTGTTAGGACCAAATGTCTTATCCTTAGCCATAGGTACACCTATGTCGGCGCAAACTGTTAAAAATGCCACAAGTTTTTTGTGGCACTCTGTCGCAGATTTGTCAACAATTAGAAAATCATTTAATACATGAGTCATAAATTTAATTCCTAATTTTTCTTGTGCAATCCACTGAAGTGCTGTACTAAACCTTTCAAATATACGACAGGAAGAACTGCAACCCATCTGAAGACATGTGTCAAAATACCAATGACCTTGCCAAGTGAAACCAAAGTATTCAAACTGTGATGCATGTAAGTTGATAATTCGAAATGCATTAGAAATATCTGTTTTGCAACAATATGATCCTTTCCCACACTGCTTAATGTTTTGAATAGCATCCTCTGCAGAAGAGTATTGAACAAATGACTCTTCCTCGGGTATGCCATCATTGACAGACTTACCTTCCGGGTATGACAAATGATGGATCATACGGTACTCACCCTCTGTTTTCTTACTAACTAGACCTAAAGGGGAACAATTTAAAATTGGCAGTGGTTTCTCTTTGAAAGGACCCATAATTCTACCCAAATTTATCTCCTTTTCTAACTTTTTGCTAATAACTTCTGGTAAGTCCAGTGCCGATTTTAAATTTTTTGAAAGAGTATTTCTACTTTCCCCTGTGTAACCAATGTGGAAACCATATCGAAAACCATTAACTAAAAATTCTGTTTCTACCTTGTCATACCCCACCAACCAGTACTCTAATCTACTGGGATTTACTGGAGTTGGACCCTTTTGTGGGATAGGTTGGCTTTGAGAATTTAGCATTACCTGTGTTGGTTGATGTGCCATTTCCTTGAAATGGTTTTTGGGTTCTGGATTTGTCCAAGAAACGAAATGGCCGTTGAATTGGTTTTTTACATATGTAGACTGGATGGAAACCACCACAGTTATAACATCTGTGCTGGAATTTGCATGATGAACCAAGCCTACAATACCTTCCAGCTTTGTGATAGGCAAAGCATGACCCCTGAGGGACTTCCTCATACGTACCAAATGACGAACGGTCTGGTGTTATTTTGCTTGACTTTTTTTCCGATTGTTTGAGGCGAGCATTAACATATATCTCCATATGGACATCACCCCATTCTACCTCACCTTGTTCTATGAGTTCCCTGAACTCCTTATCATATTTTCTCCAGTCCCCATTTTCCTCTGCAATTTGCCTTACTGATTCCATGTGTTTTGCAAGCTTTGGCTGTGCAAGTGTATCTTTAATGCAATATATTGTCACATACCTATTCCACGCAGTTACCCAGTCATGCAGGGGTAACGAACCATCCCTAACTTCGTCGTCATCTGTGGATCGCATATTGTGGATTACCACCTTACCTGTCTGATCCTGTTCCTCTACCTTGATAGAATACTTACTTTTCCCCTTTTCCTTTTTAAACAACAGAGCCATATCAACATATTGTTTTGACCAAATTTTAGATTTTATTTTGTCAGAAACAGTTGCCTCTATCGGTACTGATGAGCTTACAAAACCTGATTTCTTACCGACATTTGCTGCAGGTGGAAGTTCAGTACCTACAATCTGTGAACTGTGTTCGATTACAGCGCCTGATACCAATCCTGAGATACTTGCATCCACTGACTTATTTGTTATTTGACAAACTGACCCAGAAGGACCTGCTGTTAAGCTATTGCTTGATGTAGTGGAAGCATTATTTCCCCTTTCTCCCCCATATTATGAACAGAGATACTCCCCTGATGTTGCAGTAATGGTTTTATCTCTGCTAACACCTTCTCCGTGACTGCCTTTGTTATGGTTTGGGTTAATGCAGCCAAGGTTTCAGGAGGAACATCAAGGGGTTGAGTGCTTGTATCGACAGCCACAGCATCATTGGTAGTGGACTCTCCAGTTCCGTTCTGTGCACGACGTGGTCTTTTCACCTGACTAGTTTTGGACTGTTGGGCTTTATTCCTTTTGCCTGGCATAATGCTGGTAAATATATACCTATATAAATTTAAAATTAAGGAAGAAGTATGCATCCAATATATTATGTTATGTATAAATATAAACTGTAAAAGGCTTCGGCCTTAATTGACAATGAACAAGAATTGTAAGACCTCACTGTAGCCAGTGAGGCCCCAACTGTAACTGTAAGAGTCAGTTAGCCTACATGACAACGTATTTGAGCATATTGATATTTAACATTTCATTATATAACCACTTTCATCGCTCAGTACAATGTGTAAATCTAATACAACAAACTAGAAAGTGATGAACCTTTTCTTACAATTAATTTTTCACTTCATTGATTCTGCCGCTTTTCGATAAAACACCCTGTATCACCTACAGTTGTTGACAAAAATTTTCCGGAAATAGAGTAAATAGTAGAACCAAAAGTGTTTTGGAACAGATCTGTATTTCCCGAATTGCCGTAAGCCAATAAAAGCACCCATTGTGCGACTGCAAAAGCCATTAGTCAACATCACTAAGCCGATGCTGATCAGTAAGAACTATCCGCCACATAAAACGAAAGGTTGACATAAGTTATAAATCACCACTTTTGAAGCCGACAACCCTCGCACCGTGTCAAATTCCCAAGAAGGCTGTAGTGCCTTTCCCACAGATAACAACCTGTTCGGCTGTTGTTAATTGTTTTCATCACTACTACAAATGAGGTACTTGAAGGGCTTGTAATGTATCTAAGCGCAGTTGCAGAACAATAAAACCTTAATAAATGAATAATGAAAAACAACTATTTGTACAAGACTCAATATCATATAAAGGGGATAACAAATACAAACAGTTAACTTGTACTTTTCAAAATGAAATGCGGATTTTTTTTTAATTCCTCCATAATCTGGACCATTGAATCGAACATGATTAGGTAAATCAACTTGAAGTGAAATCGATATAAAAATCATCAAGGTAAAAGTGGGCCTAACATGAATTAAAAACCAAAACGGCTAAATGTCAAGTACAAAAGACTGCCTGAAACTTTTACCTAGGACTTGCCTAAAATACTGTAAAAATTCACAATATTTTAGCACAGGTACTTGTGGACAGGACCCCTCCCCCCCCCCCCTCCCCCGATATTCAATCCCGGGGCTTATTGGACATTTTTTTCAAAAATTATATTTATTACTCTTATTCATCATGTGTACAATATGAAAAAATCGTCAAAACCCTAAAACAATCGCTCCACAAAAAAAATACCCCACTATACATTATAAGGGAGAAAGGTTTGAAATTTCCCTCAGTAAAAGCAACGGAAGTGCATAGAGAATGTATGATAAAACCCGAGAGAGATTATTACGTCATCCAAAACTCTCTCGGACGTTATCCTGATAAGTGAAACATTCTCTATGCACTTCCGTTGCGATTACCTAGGGAAATTTCAACTTCTGACTGGAAAACTGTTTAAAGATATTGTGGGATTCTTACGAGATGCAGAGTTAATCCGATAGCATGCACTAAGACAGAAATATATGTAGAGACGATGTGAATCGACATTTTAGGTTGAAATAAAATAAATACATGTTTATAAAGTGGGGGTACAACGTAAACAAACCGGAGTGGCATACCTTTCTCCCTTATAATGTATAGTGGGGTATTTTTTTTTTTGTGGAACGATTGTTTTGGGGTTTTGGCGATTTTTTCATATTGTACACATGATGAATAAGAGTTATAAATATAATTTTTGAAAAAAATGTCCAATAAGCCCTGGGATTGAATATCGGGGGGGGGGGGGGTCCTGTCCACAAGTACCTGTGTATTTTAGTAATCAACTAATACCGAAACAAACAAATTGGCAGATATTTTTCCAACAAATTGTTTTCTTTTTATACAGAAAAAGGATAAATCTGGAAGGCATCAACATGCACTTCTAGACTTATCAAATAAACAAGCGATGGAAAATAAATCGCCGGGGTAAAAGTTGAAACTAAAATGAAAAGACCCGCATGGGTACAAACTTGGCAAGTACAAAAGACTGCCTGAAACTTGTACTTAGGACTTGCCTAAAGTACTGTAGAATTTCACAATATTTTAGTAATCAACTTATACCGAAACAAACAAATTGGCAGACAATTTCCAAGATTTTCCTTCACAGAAAAAGGATAAGTCGATCTGGAATGCATTGAAATACATTCATAGACATCAAATAAAAACCGATGGAAAAAATCGCCATATGCATGGTAAAAGCTGAAACTAAAATGAAAAAACCCGAACGGGTTTAAACTTGGCAAGTACAAAAGACTGCCTGAAACTTGTACTTAGGACTTGCCTAAAGTACTGTAAAAATTCACAATATTTTAGTAATCAACTAATACCGAAGCAAACTAATTGGCAGACATTCTTCCAACGAATTTACTTCACAGAAAAAGGATAAATCTGGAATGCTTTAAAATACATTCCTAGATATCAAATAGAAAAACGATGGAAAAAATCGCCATCTGCATGGTAAAAGCCGAAACTAAAATGAAAAAACCCAAATGGGTTGAAACTTGGCAAGTACCAAAAAAAAAATTGCCTGAAACTTGTACATACATGTAGTATCTGCCTAAAGTACTGTAAAAATTAAACTAACAACGAAACAATCAAATTTGCTGATACTTTTTCCAACCGAATTTTCTTCACAGAAAAAGGATAAATCCGTTTTACATTATTAGACATCCTAAATGCCTATCGTACTGTTAAAATAACAAAATGTTGTATAATTTCAAAGAATATCTATCTGAAAAATTGACGAACAATAAAAGTAACAAAATGGTGACAAACTTTTATGACTTAGATGTATATCTATTTTCTCGCTAAAATTAAAGCTCCCCTTATACTCCTATATAAATGAACATTCCCCTGACTGTTCAGATGAACTCCGTCGTGAACAAATTTACGACTGCAGTCTCCTTCACGGGGAGAAACGAAATAATTCCCATGTTCCCAAAATACGCAGTAACCCAGTGCTGGCAATGCATCTCTCAATATTGCGTTTACTTTATCTGCAATATTATTGTACCCAAAACGAACACCAAATCGTGGCAATAATTTACAAACAATTACTTTTGCAACTTTATAGCGGCGATGCATTACCGATACCACAGATTCAATTTCTGCAGCTAACAAGGTAGCGTCGGTACTAGGACTAATATCGTTCTCCCCAATCATTAGAACAACTACATCTGGACCTAAAGCAAATACGCTCTCCATATCCTTAGATATTACATCACAAACCTTTCTTCCACCTACACCCCTGTACAGAACGGAATGCGTTTCTCCAAGACCAAGGCTCGCAGAATACCTAATGTCACCATATTTCAAGAATTCATGAAAACGACGCACAATTGAGTGTCCAAGAATGACAACTGAAGTTTTACGCATAGCAGACATAATGAAATAAATTTACTCACCAAAATCTTGATAAAATAAATAACAAACTTTGAAACAACGTCCGTCCTCCAAGGATGTAGATGGGAGAAAAGGCAGAGTAACGCACCGCATGGTCAGAATTTCATTTGTTAGATTTTAATTGGTCAGATTTTGATTGGTCAATCTCTGCCTCTCCTACCACGGTAAGACATGGAACAAAATTAACATTACAAAGCACAGCTATACAGTATTTCAGACTTTCACATTCAAGGAGGACACTTATTGATTACAATAAAAATTTTTAAGTAAACTTAAATTTATTTATCTTTAAATTCAAGGGAGCTAATGGTTCCTATTAATATTGGCTATGACAATTTTTCGCACCAAGAGATTTTTTTGCTCTATATACTTGCATGAAAATTTTAGCTTATAAGCTACTGTATAATTAAGAGACTATACAGCAGCTTATTTATTACACTTTCATGTACATGTAGTGCGTGAAAAGGAGAAAATACTTGCTGTGGTCTTCAACTCGACATTTAGATATATCGACGACGAACCGTTATTACAATGTAACAGTTATGGTAATTTCCATTTTTATGTCGATAAGATATATTCTGGTGAGCTTGAGATAAAAGATACATGTACCACAGAGTCGGACATTGTGTTTCAAATTTAGATATTTTACTTGAAATTAATGGTACTCTAGCAAACAAGCTCTATGATAAACGTGACGACTTAAATTTTTCGATCATCAACTTCCCTTCCCTATGCAGTAATTTTCCTTCATCAACGTGCGTACTTTACATATCTCAGGTTGATTAGATACGCAAGAGCATGCTTAATGTAAGATCAATTTCTTCAACGAGGTAAATTAATGACAAACAAGTTGATGAAACAAGAAATTCAGCGGTTTCTTTTAAATCATCATTTTGTAAGTTCTATGGTCGATATAATATCATTGTCAGGAAATACAAATTATCATGCTGACTGACGTATTTCATGGTTATTGGTGGTCCATTGGGTAAACACTGAATCAACGACGGATTTTTCCGTTATTTCCCGATCATGACAAGCAGCACACGGCGGATGTTACTGGTCGACGGGATGCAAACTCTTCCATGGCACTTGATCTTATGTTTCGGGGATCTGTGTTTGCCCTGCTCATATTTTGTATTGTTTTATGGACTTCTGATCTGGAATACTTTACGTTATCTCCAAATGTTTCATTTGAAAAAGTTTTCTTTCTTTCATCAATCTTGTGAAAATTTGTAGTCATGGCTTCTTTCTACACTGTATCAACTCTCTCCTACATATAATTATTTCAAAGTTTTCGAAAATATTACTATAATAGCTTAATACTTTGATATAATACACATGTACCATACACTGCAGATATTTTAGCTTAATCTGTGTACATGTATATGGATTCTTTTAATATCAAGTGTACATGTAATCACATGACTTTTTTTTAAATGTAAAACTGTCATCGGATAAATTTGAAATGGGGAATGACTCAAAAACTAAACATGGTAAAATAATTTAATTTTGTTTGTATTCTAGTCTCTCATTGGTTGATTTCCAAAAAGGAACGCAAATTATTTCTCAACAACCTGGTTTGGTATGGGGGCACAACCCCTTGTAAACCAGCTGAATCATCTGTATCCATGCAATCCCCTCATTTCCAGTCCTTGGGATTCATTGAAAATTCTAGGTTTAATTAATGTACTTTTAAATTCAAACAGTAGCTCGATCATACCTCATGTAAACAAACATCATGGCTGCTAGATCTGTGTATCAGTTATTACCTCCCCTTGTTTCATATCACTTCCGTTACTAAGGATGTATTATTGAGCGGTCAATTTGAACTCATAAAAAGCAGCATAAATTTATACCCTCAGTTGATAATTATATTAAAATTAAATTATAGGGAATGACCAATTCTTGACCAAATTATTCGATTATAACCTGGTTTGGGTCAGATTAACGCTTTTTTATAATCCGCTTCGCAGATTATAAAGCGTAAACTGACCCAAACCAGGTTATAATCGAATAATCGCGGATTATAAAAAAAAAAGCGTTCAAATGACCCAAACCAGGTTATAATCGAATAATTTGGCAAAGAATTAGAGTCATTCCTTAATTATGATGACAACTTTATTCCAAATATGCTGTATATATCAAAATATGTTTTATTCTTTAAGGTGTTGATCACATTGCGATTTTTAGCAAAGGAGGGACTGTTTAAAAGAAGTGGCTG